CTTTTCAATCCTTTCTGTGTTCTGCATTGCTGTCTGTGCTAAACCACACTAATAACTTACTTGACTTTCTGTTTAATTAGAGTAGTGCAGATACGTATTTGAAGAACAAGTGTCCTTTCGAAGGTTGTATACAGCTATTATGTATATTCTTAGGTGAGGGAAAGACATGGGACTGTCATGTATCATTCACCTGTTGCCTAAAATTGGCTCTTAAAGAAACTCCTAAGACTCAATTTGTGAGTTTTAGGAGGCAGGCAAATTAGTTTTGGAGGTGAGATAAGGAAAGGGTTTTAATTTGTGCCTCTGAGGTATAAGGTTACAAGACGCACCTCTCCGTGTACAGATGGTACAATTTATAATATTGTTTGTCCAATCCCAGATGTTTCCACCCTGTGGCTTTTGCCCCGATCCACCCCCATCCCGCCCCCGGGAATTGGGGCTAGGGGCTTTTTGAGACCCCCTTTTCATCAATCATCATCTTCTTCAGAGTACAAGGGGCATATATTCACTCAGTTCTTGACTGTACTTTTGCAGTTCAGGCCAAGATACAAGTGTTCTCTAAACAAAATGGGCCTACTTTGACAAGAGACTTAGCATTTTCTAATGGAATTCAGGGGTAGAATTGATATGGGGAGCATGGAATGGGGTAATAGGGGTTGAGGAATGTGTGTAGTTACTATGCAAAGGGTAAAGGAATAAATGCTGCTGCTTCTAAATCTACTTCTATATAACTACTTATAAAGCTTATAAAAATTAGGAAAATCAGAAAAACTAGATGAACCTTAAGGCATCACATGATTATTCATTTTCATTTCCTGCATTCCTGTTACATATTCACAACATTTCCCAACACTTATTAGCATATATAGATATCCTTATAAGGTCTCTGAGGGGTTTCACTGAGGGTCTCTAGTGGTCATCTGTGTCTGGAGCCCCAAAGTTCTTAGTGATTGCCTTATGAACTTCTTTAAGACAATACACCTGGTTATACATCAACCCAGCACTGCCTGCTCAGCTGCTTGGCTCAGCTATGTGTAATTTTCCATGGTACATTCTGTTGCAAATACTATTAGTTTTTGTTACATCTCTAATCCCCGACATTGCTCCCATCAAACATTTAGTAAGCAGTGCTGAATTGTCATTTTAAGAGGTCATCTTAATCTCTAGATAAATTCACCTCTAAGAATTGTATGCAGAAATAAATAGAGCCCAGATTATATTCTTGATACTGTCTTCCACAATGTGTAATGCCATAGAATCATAGAATGTCTTGGGTTGAAAGGAGCATTAATATAATATAGGAAAATATACAAAATATATTCACATATATATATTATATATATATAAATACAAAGTCCCTATATATACTTATCTATAATATAGTAAAAGTTACTTTTTACTACCTGACAAAAAAGCCCAAAACCAAAGAGACCTTAATGCTTATCTAAAATTAAAATTTAGACAACCAGTGTTCTTTTTTTGTTGCTGTTGTTTTCAATCGGCCATCTTTGTTTATTTTATAATGTGAGGAAAGCAGTTGGCAGTCAGTGCAGGAAGTTAATTTTTCACATGGGGCATTTTTTTACTATAACATGTATTGTACAAGAGACAGAATTCAATATATTACCTGAAACTGGAAAAGCCTTGACAGAAAAGTTTCCAGACTGCAAAACACTTATCCATTATGCATTTACAGATCAACCTCAACAAAACATTGCAAATTTAAGCACCTGCACAATCAAAGCCTAAGTAGCAGATATAAATATTTAGCTAAAGTATTTACAAATCTCGATTTTGAGGACATAAGACAAGTTTCTTAGGAGGGAGATATGAATCATATCTATGTAACAGCACTTTCAGACACTGTAATCGTTGTTCCTAGTAGAAAACTGCTTCTTAGTTAGGGACAGATGATGAAAATTTTGAGTTATATGAAAAGGTTTCTCAAAGAAAATAATAGGTGACTTGTTGGACTCTATCTTTTTAGAAATAAATACAGAAATGATAAAATTATGCTTTAAATGTGTATTCCTCTTTTGTATTCAGCACTTTTTGTTGCTTTGAGCTAGCCTGAAGTCTAGAGTATGTGAGAAAAATCTCATTTATTGAATTTAGAAAGACGGCAAAAGTTTGCAAAACAAAAGGAATAAAACGAAAAGGAAAAATTACAACACGTGTTGGGTGTCCTAGGCACGCAGGATTCCCAGGAACACACCCTTCAATTCAAAAGTCCCGCTTTTTAAACATTCTTAAGGTTCAACCCCGTTTACGTCATAGAAGAGGCGTTCCCCTCTTTCTGGTTGGCTGTGTCGTGCTGGGAGGTGGAGTGTCCAGCAGCATGGCAGCTTCCAGGACCAGCCATGTGGTATAAGGGGTTTCCTTACCAATATTCATTTACAGTTCCCTATTCCCGTTCACATGTTTCCCTGACACTGGTTCCAGGCTGAATCCGGCGTCTTACAGCTCCGCGATACGCCCTATAGGTTAGTAAAGAAAAACTCTTATGTTAGTGATTTGCTAAATTCATTTGCTTGTAATAAAACCGATTCTTTATTTCCCACAAGTATAAGATGAAATATAGTTTTGTGATAGCCAGGAATCCTCTCCTAGAAACACTAGCCTTATAACCAACTGAACAACTGAAACAGGCACTCACAAAAAGCAATTTCTCTCTAATACCTTTCTCTTTTACCACATTAAATCTTTGTCATGTGCTCTCCTTTGCAAGAGCAAAAAATATATCTTTTTTAATTAAAAATCTCTCTCACGTGCAGCCCTAGCCACTTTGGTTTGACTGCAGTGAAGTACTGCAGCCCTGGAGCAGTCCCTTTGGAAGAGACTATTCTGGTCTCTCTCCCCTCTCCTTTACCAGTAAATACCTTTAACCCCTCTGTTTTCCCTCACTTCTCCCCAAGGAAATAACCCTTCAGAGTTCTTTAAATTTATTTAACAGAATATCAGAGAACCACTTTTAGGGGCATTTCATCTCCTGCAGGAGCATATGTGTTACACATTCCTTCCCCCACTGGAGCAGATATAATAAGTTTTCTTAACATGGGAGTGTGAAGCATCTCTTGTTTTGCTTTTTTGAGAGCTCCATGCAGACAAACTCCTTCATGACATTTCCCAAACACTTTTGAAAAGTTCCAGGCCCAGGAGAAAAAACATGAGTTTTTCAGCAAATTTATCTTCTGCAACTTGCTCTGAGCTGCAATAGCACTGCACTGAGCAAATTCAGAGCCTGCTTTTTCATGAAAAAGAATCTCCCATTCTCTCTTTTTACTATTTACTAATTATCATTATCTCACTATGTGCACACACACACACACGTGTGTGTGTGTGCACTTGCCTCTCCCGTCAGATTAACCAGAACTTCTCAAACCTACAGGATGCTTCAAGAAACTCATGCATACTCCCATAGCACTTTGCAAATAACTTTGGTCTTAAGGGCTGAAGTTCTTCACACTTCTTTCCTGCTTTCTAAAGCACTTCACAGAAAATAGTACCTGAAATCAGTAAGATAAAGCCATATTGGTCGAAGTGACCTGAGGTTGGATAAAGGAGTTTGGTGGCATGCTGCTTTCTATCAGAAAAAGGAAAGAACTCCTCATGCTTTTAAGAATGACATAGTCACAGGAATGATGACCCTGATAAGCAGTTTGGTCACCAAACTGCTGCTCTGCTCAGTCCTTATACCCAGCCAGCTCATGGTCCTACATGACCACAACAGATCCATTGCTGTTGATTTGCTTAAACTACATGCACTGCCTCCAAACTATGTGCAAAAACCTGTACTATTACAATTCCATACAATTTCTGTATCTGTAGGAACAGTTTCTATCAAGAATTTACAAGTGTCTTATTTATGTAAAGTTGCATACAAATAGTGTCTGTGAATTAGTCTGGGCACAGCAGGAGCTGTTTTTGCTGCAGGACAATCTAAAATCCCCATCTGGAGAGTTGCTGCACCAATTAGTCAAATACTTTGTTGTGAAGGGTAAGAGTTCAGTCAATCACCTTGTCTCCTCAGTCCATCATCTCAAACTAGTCTTTTGTCTCACATGCTCAAAGGCAAGCTGGGCATCTCCAGGACCAGGCAGGGAATTCAGGACAAAGTACATTTGGCAGAGGCACATCCCTGATACCCAGTTGCACCATAGTTATAGCTATAGGGCAAGGTGAGACCTTTTCCTCTTATTTTAATGGAGTTGTTCTTGCTAAGTTAGCATTCAGCAGGCAAAGGACAGCAAAATCAGGACTTATTTTTGCAGTCTATTTGCCTTCCATGCAGGCTACATTTCTGCAGACAGTATTCTTTTTTAGAAATACATGGGGTAATCATCTCAGCAATCTTCTTCTCTAACATTGCCTTGGGGGCTGCAGAAGCTGCTGCGCAGAGGTTTCCCGAATACGCGCAGGCAGCGAGCCCTATCAGGGAAAAAGCCAAAAGCTGGAAACGGCACCCTTTGTTCTTTCCAGTTCTCGTGCAGGTCGTGCGGTACCGTTCCCTCCACCGCTCGCCCCCACCCTATTCGCGATCGGCACTCCAGGCACAGCACACTGCCGCCCCATCCCCAACCTGGTCCAGTACCGCGGTACTCGTTATCAGCGCGCGCCCCCTAATGGTAGTATGGGAAAATTACAAAAGAATTTAAACCCATGGCAAACATCTAACAAATTAATTCGATTTGTGAATGCCAGACAGGTGCTAGCACTATATATCCTTTATCACTTCTGTGTCTAGACCAAAAGATTTTTGTTGCAAGAGGAAGTATTTGTGGTAAGTCAAGTCATTCTTTCAAAGTCCTGTAAAGTCTTGCTAACAAGGTGTCCAACATCAGCTAGTAAAACATCTCCTTATATCTAAACAGTATTTTTGGTGTGCCCTAGTGGTCTCTGCAGAGGTCCAGAATACAGCAGAAAGTACCAGCAGAGATGTTTGTTTCTGAACAGCCATGTGCACTTAGAGTCAAAAAAACCTTGAGGGAGGTGGAGGGGAGGATGCAATGTAGTGAAGGCTGTGTGTGAATTGTTGTATGTTATACTACTGTCTGAAGCCACTTAACTATTATCTACTCCTCCTACCTGAATCCGAAAAATCGGCCCGAAAGACTGCTCAGAGACATTTTTTTATCTTTAAGCAGCAAGGTATTTGTTTATTCAACATTGGGAGCAAGCCAACTCGTGCTGGACAAACTTGCTCAACTTGAAAGTGCAAAAGCAAGCTATTTTATACACTTTAGATACATGGTTACATCATCTAACATACATATTAATAAGTAGGCTAGTCTCTGGGTGGAGTCTTTCCAGACATGCACAATCTTCTACTGTGGGGGTCTTCTCCTCAAGCCTTCATCCCTCTGGTGGTCGCCATGGACGTCTTCCTCAATTTGACCTCTTCAATTAGGTGACCTGAATTCTTCAAGCTTGCAAAATCCTGGCTCTGGGCCTTCTAGATCTTATTCAAATGTCTAGTTTACCTAATTTATTACTGTGTGTGTACTACTCTTATTCTTTCTATAATAAGGCCTTTGGTCCAGTGAGCAGAACAGAACATGATATTAACCAGTGCTCTTAAAATGTTCTTCCAGCAAAACAAGTATTCGGTTTCTTATCAGGCCAGGATATCTCAGTTAACTCTTTTAGGTCTGGCTCCTGTTTCATATCAGAACAAGGCCATATAGTTACTTTTCATTAAGAAAAAGTTTTTCTTAATTAATCAAAATTGCAGACTTTAGGGAGAGGGAGCTGTTGGTACAGGTCCTCCTGCTCCTAAGAGGTGGAGAGGGGCTTTGTTAGAGAAGGCCTGAATCTCAAGTGGCTTCTCTAAAGGTTTGTGTGAAAAAAAAGATACTCCCTTCTGTTCTCTGAGGACCGTAAGAGCAACACAACAAAAATCACTCTGAGTGCAGGAACTATTCTAAAGGGAGTAAATAAGCATCTTCTGTGGCATATACATTATAAACACCAGCTCCAAAGGAAACATAACCTCCACTTCAGTGTTTTCTCAGCTGTTTATTTCCTTTGCCTACCAAACTGAATGATCTCGCTTGAAGTGAGAAGACAGCTGCATTCCTGGTTTTTCCAGGAGCCTCTGTAGTTAGTGGATGTGGAAACAGCATGGCAAATAGAAAGAAATGTGTTTGCTGTAACTTTCTGTGAGTTGCTTGTACAGATTTCATGACTGCCATCTCTTGTTCTAACTGATAGCTCTTCTCCAGCTTAATGATGATAGCTGCATGTCTCCTGTTTTACAGACAAGATGAAGGCAGAGGGAGGCTACCCCTTATAGACGATGAAGAAATGAGGCTGCACACACCATGATTCAGTTTTCAGGATTCTCTGCAGAGCTCTTTCTGCATTTCCCCTTTATTAGGGTTCTTTGTAAACAGCACTTGGTGTTGTCATTCAGTTAACTAGAATTCCCAGGACGTTTTGCAAACTCAATGTTTTGATTCACACACTCCTTCTCAGCTCCAAGGCTGAAACACTCCCTTTTGATTCTAATTAACTGAATGCAGGTGCTGCTTGCTTAACTTCTTCCCATAACCCCTCATAGTAGTATCCACATAACAAGTACCTGTGATGCAGCAAGGTGCCAAACACAGGTCCCCCAGGGCCCTCTGCTATAAACTGCCCATCCTTCCTTAGAGTCAAAAGCAATACAGCAGTCCCCAAACACAAAACTATTAAAATAGTCAAGAAGAATTTTGCTGGAGGCTGAGCAGAAAATAAAACAGTTGACAAGTTGTTTGGTTTAGGGCAGGTAAAGTCCTAAAGATTTTATTCCTTGGAATCATCTATCCCTGCATGTGTGTTATATTGGTACTACAGGAGACTAAATGAGAAGTAAAGGCAAAAGAGATTTATCTGAACAACAAAATAAAATAAAGTTATTCCAGAAAACTTCAGACAGATGATGGAATTTAGCTCATCACCATGTTTTAGCAAAGCCTATTCAATCACTATACACATTTCATTTGTAACAATGTATCATATGGAAGTAATATTTGTATTAATGCTTCACATGGAAAAGAAAGTATTTTAATTTTGAAAAAATAATAATTTCCTTGGGGAAGATTAAAAAAAAATTGGAAATTATTTGTGGGAGACATTGTCACAGCCTGAATATACTGATACTAATTTACCTAGTATTTTCAGCTAAAAAATCACCAAGAAGTGAAACACTGAAATGGTCTCACGTGTGTGTGGCTCCCAGAAAAGCACACTGTTTTTCTGTCATAATGTGGGGCTCTGTGTCTTTAGGGCTCATATTTAAGCAAAGGATTTAGGTGATGGAAGTGAAATTGCATGGGGCAGAGTGCCACAGTGAAGCGGGTTAAAGTGAGAGATCAAATAACTTTGTATTCCTACATTATGGCTGTTTCCTAGCTGTGAGGCTTATGTTAAGCTCTACGAATTTAGACACAGGGCAGCCAGAAAACTTGCATGAAAAATAGCAAGACAGGTTGATAAAACTCTGTCACAGTAAGAGCAGAACAAATTGTTTAAAGCAGGCTCCTCTTGTTCAAATAGCAGCAGTACCACAGCAAAAAAAAATAAGCACTGGGAAATGCATAAAATATTTTCCTTACAGGAACAGTGATTTCGAGATGATCCCTCGTTTAGGACTGGTGTTGCTGGGAAGCAGGAGGTATTTTATGTCTCCTTGCCCTGCCAACTGATGCCACATTGAACATTTGTCTTATACAGAATAAAGTAGTCTGGCTCACAGGAGGCAGATGAGTGTCAGCATGGTACATTTCTTCCAGTTTTGAGCTGCCACTCAACCTGCTGGTAGTCTATAAAATTTAAAAACCTGTGATTTCCTCTGCTTCCTGCAACCCTGTCCCCAAGATCTCTCACTGCCACCATGTTCAGCCAAGAAAAATGGGCATGAAAGAAACAGGTATGTATGTTTTGTTTATTTTCCTTGGCATCAACTGGCTCCAATGTATATGGAAGTACCATGACCAGGTTTCTAACCTCAGTCAGTGTGACTCATCTTTCTTGGCTTCCCCTACTCCATCCATCATAACCCTTATAACTATAGACCTGACTGGTGGATTTGGACAAGATTAAGGTCATGACAGTCCAGTAGTTCAGAGTATTCAGTCCACATGTGCAAAAGTCATAAAGGATTGCAAAACTTTACTGAAAACTGCCCCTAAGCTCTTCTGGACCACAACATGCAACTTGTCATGGCTTGGCACCCTTAACTCCTTGTTAGACTGGACTTGAGAGGAGCCATGTGGGCTCTACAGACTGGTCTTCCTGAAAGAACTGAGAACTGAACTCTTGCTGGTGATAATCTGGATACATAGAGTTGCTATAATAGGCTGGAAAGGGTCAAGGAGCTCAGGAAGAATTTGAGCCTTCTTTTCACATAGACAAGATCACAAATTTCATCATAGACAAGATCTAAAATCTAAAATGATCACAGAATCACAGAATCATTTAGGCCTGAAAAGACCTCTGAGATCAAGTTCAACCTTTGATCAACCTTGTCAACTAGACCATGGCACTAAGGGCTGCGTCCAGTCTTTTCTTGAACACGTCCAGGGATAGTGACTCCACCACCTCCCTGGGCAGTCCATTGCAATGTTTAACAACCCTTTATGTGAAGAAATTCCGCCTGATGTCCAACCTGAACCTTCCCTGGTGCAGCTTGAGGCTATGTCGTCTCGTCCTGTCACTAGTTGCCTGGGAGAAGACGCCAATCCCCATCTTGCTACAATCTCCTTTCAGGTAGTTATAGAGAGTGATAAGGTCTCCCCTGAGCTTCCTTTTTCTCCAGGATAAACGTCCCCAGCTCCCTCAGCCGCTCCTCACGAGACTCACTCTCTAGATCCTTCACCAGTTTTGTTGCCCTTCTCTGGACATGCTCCAGACCCTCGATGTCTTTCTTGAAGTGAGGGGCCCAGAACTGGATGCAGTACTCTAGGTGCGGCCTCACCAGTGCCAAGTACAGGTGAAGAATCACTTCCCAGGTCCTGATGGCCACACTATGTAGGGAAAGGGTTAACATTATGCAGGAAAATGTCCCATGGAAGCATGGGAAATGTAGTCTTTGTGTCACGCCTCCGGAGGACTCTGCAGAGCATGCCCACAGGAAGGACTCGCTAAGGAGTATGGGGAATACCGCATGATGTCACGGGAGGTATATAAGGGCTTGTTAGCACATGAATAAATTGATTTATCAGCTGCACATGCATCTGGTTGGTCCGTGAACTCAGTGCTACAACACTATTCTTGACACAAGCCAGGATGCCACTGGCCTTCTTGGCCATCTATGCACACTGCTGGCTCATATTCAGCTAGCTGGCTGTTGACCAGCACCCCCAGGTCCTTTTCCATTGGGCCGCTTTCCAGTCACTCTTCCTCAAGCCTGTAGGTCTGCATGGGGTTGTTGTGACTGAAGCATAAGACCCGGACTTGTTGAAACTCATCCTGTTGGTCTCAGCCCATTGATGCATCCTGTCCAGATCCCTCTGCAGAGTCTTCCTACCCTCCTGCAGATCAACACTGCCACCCAACTGGCCCCAATACTGAGCCCTGGGGAAAACCACTTGTGACCAGCTGCCAGCTAGATGCGGCACCATTCACCATCACTCTCTGGGCCTGCCCATCCAACTAGTTCTTAACTCAGCAAAGAGTGCACCTGTCCAAGCCATGGGTTGGCAGCTTCTCCAGGAGAATGCTGTGGGAGACGCTGTCAAAGGCTTTGCTGAAGTCCAGGTAGACAACATTCATAGCCTTTCCCTCATCCACTAGGCAGGTCACCTGGTCATAAAAGGAGATCATATCTTTTCCCTTTTGGTGCCCTTTCATATGTACAATGGCAATTTCTTGGGGTCTTTGGATTTCCTCCAACAAGGTTTCAAGAAGTTCACGGTGACTTAAACCTTTCCCTTGGGAGGTTACCATTCCCCTCTCATGCCAGATTTTCCCAAATACATGTGCAACCCCACAGGCATATCTGGAATCAGTGTATATGGTTCCCACACCATC